CTAAATTGGCAACAAGTACGGACACATTTTTACCAGGCCAGTACTGACGTTATTAGAGAAATTATCAACTATCGATACGACAAAACCACCAGAGTTATCTGAATTGGTTGAAATTCTAGATATTGCGGCTGTAGCACCAGCAGAAAGAATTAATGCTGGTAAGGTGTCCTAATTAATTTAATTTACTAATTACATGAGAATAGAAAGTGACGAGTGACAAGTAAGGTAACAATCAGTGAAGACAAGAATTGTGTGCAGAACTACTGAAAGACATAAATGAGAAAGAGACATTTTGAAATGATAAAATGATATGAAAATGAAATGGTACTTCTGCATCATGAATCGGACTTCGTTACAAATACTAATAGCCTCTTTTCTATGTTGTGCCCTGCTTAATGATAATAGCTTTATAATATGTGCTTTCAAATGTCATTGATTCAATCAGACGCATCGTTTCTCTGACTTCTTGATTTACTGAATGTGGGGTTCTAGAAACTGCACACTGAACTTTTGCCGAATGTCATATCTCGGTACTTAGTTATATTTTTATGCTCGTGTCTCGGAAATATGACAATTTTTATTGTATTTAAACCTATACGACCCAATAAAAATGGCCGATAAACTTGGCCACATCTTTTGCGTTATGATACTGTGATAACGCCTGTTTTTAACTGCCTTTGGAACGACTTGCACACTGGGCATCAGATGTTTTCCTGGCAACAACTATAGCTTTTTGTCAACAGGATTCGTTTTAACAGGCTCTTGTCTCCTTGGCTGTATCCTGTACTCGTCTTTCGTAGCAGAAAACTATGGCTGGCTGATTGGGAAGGGCGGGATGGGATGATATGCAAAGGGGAATTTATTGTGCATGTTTTTTTTCACAGAATGCCGACCAAAATATAATGAAACTGGAGTGTATGATTTACGTTTGACAGTGTAGTATAGAACATCTCACAGGCACACAGGGAACTGGCTTAGGAATTGCGTCTCAGAGACGTCTTTTCTTGCTGGCCTTTCAAACGTGTCCTTAAATAGTTTTCACTAAATGAGGACCAAAGCAATTTCTACCATCTTCAACTAAAAATTCTCTTTGGAAACCTTTCCTATCTATGTGCTTTTCGATTATTAGAAATGTCGATAGTGAACACGATCCGAACCACGATTGAATGAACACGCTGGATCTGCAATAGAACTAAACACAGTAATAATGATGAAATATCTGTTTACGCAATAACTTCCCTCAGCGTAAAGAGTGAAGAACATTATATGCTTGCAAATTAACATGGCTCGTAAGTTAAGCGGCCTCGAATAGAAATTATTATTATGAAGATGGTGCGTTTCTTACACACGCTGGTTAAGTACAGCGGCCTTTGAGTTGGTGAGAACGGCCATTGTTATACAACACTCACAGAGAACGACGGAATGCGGGGGTTAGCGGGAGAGAAAAGTCGCTCACATTTCAAATTTAATACCAACAATACTATTGAAAAAACTGAATTTGCCTTTCTTTTGCCATCCATTGCTTATTTAGCCAGCAGTAACCAATAGTAAAAAAAAGTAGCGAAGCATCTAAGGCAAATCGACTCATGTTGACAGAAAAGCGGCCTGAAGACTTAGGCCTTCGGTTGTTACTGCTGATTCACGGAAAATTGTTACTGCTCAAGCACAATACTTAAACCTTCCGCATGCCGTAGAATTGTATAAAGCCTATCAAAGCGGAACTGGGACTTCTCGTAGATTCAACCGCACTGTAGATCAGTTAATCTGTCCATATGCCATATCGTTCTAAATGACCCTTCAGTAGGATTAGACAAAAAAGTAGATTAGAATCGGGATAGAGCCACGGTAAAGACAGCACAACCGGAGAGCCTTCTGGGTACCAGAAGTTTCCCAGAGGCCCATGCACCCACAGTTTTGGAAAAACGACACACATGGGTACCCATCTAGTAGATAGACAAACCTAACGAGCCTAGTTGTTACCGGCACCCTAAGTGACTTAAATAAAAATTATACTTTGAGAAGCGCATGCGGAACCTGCTAGAGGTGGGTCCGGTCTTCAGCAATGGACGGTTAGTGCGCTGTATATGGGAACCGGAACACCGCTACTGGCCTAAAGACATTACTCTTTCAACACTGAAAAGCGACTGACGGAACCAGCTCATTGCATTAATTGTGTCTGATGGGTCTCTAAGAAAAATCTGGACCGTTAGGGTTGAATGTAAGAAATGAGGAAGGGACACATGGTGGCGGGAAAGCGGGGCGTTTTTAGGCGAGAGTTTGTAGGTTTTTGGGTTTCGGTTTCTGGGTCTTCTCACTCTTCCACCTCTCGTCCCTCTCATAAGACGAGGCAATGGAGATGAGTGCAACCGTACTACTCGTTCGGCACTGAGACGTTGCCATGAAGCGCTCACACCTAAATGCGCATGCTAAAAAGACGCTCTCGAGGCATTCCGGCTGAGTGCATTTAGTTGTTCTTCGGGATGAAGAAAGGCTGAACGAACAGCATAATGGTAGGCACCAACTTTGCTGATCTACTTCGTACAATAGTAGCGCATAGGGCATTACAAATGAGACAATCGCACCGATGCGCAAAACACATTATGTATATAATACGTTTATAATATTGTTAATTTAATATATATACGTCAGTTTGTTAGATACTATTCGATTGTTCCGAGTCAACAATATGGCAAAAACGCCGAAGTTTCACTGATAGAAGACTCCATTTAGTGTAGCTATCCTTTACGTTTTGAGTTTTACGTTTGATATCGCGGTTAGGGGTTTTATCAGACGGTTGGAAGTTCGGCTGCTCTACTGGATATTATTCAGGGCTTCATGAAACATACTTTCCGTAAGCTCGTACACATCCTGAATGTCTGGAACGACTGGCCAATCTTCGACATATAAAGGGAACGAAATTTTCAGGGGAATTTGTTGTCTAGCAATCGCTAAGATGTGACAGCTGCAAGAGACCTCAACCTTGCAGAAACTCCCGTTTAAACCTTGTACTATAGCAAAATCCGTGAATATCACTACACCCGAATACCTAAGTGAGCTGGTTCCTATAACGACATGTTTTTTTATGTATCTTTCAACCCAATGCATTAATCCAGTTCGCTTCGTAATGTTATAATATCTGCCAAACCTCGATGTTCATCACCCTGTTGAGTGTCACCCTTCTAGCGGTCCAGCAAAAAACGTCACTTGAAGAACCCCTAGAAGTCAGTGATTTCTATTATCAAATTAATAGCAACAACTTGAACTTCTGGCCATAATCACAAGTAATAGAAAAATAGAGGTAAAGTAAAAATAGATAAAGAAGAATAGGTCCGCAAGCTAATACTTAAAAAATAATATTAACTTATGCTTTTACTGCAAAAGTTACAATATAATGCGAGACGCAACAGCGATTTGTCAGTATTTCATTTTCAAGCTGCCCCGAAGCCACTCTAGTTACTTGAGGGAACGTTGCTTCGTATCGGTCAAGTCAACACGCAAAGATAGGTCCTTCTAACTCAGCATGAGACATATTTCGTTAGCGGCGATGACCAGACTTGCAGGCCATTCAAGTGAATACTGGTGTTAAACTAGCGGGAATTCAGAATCGGAACGTATCGTTTCATCTGCCGCTGGCCATTTTTACAACAGTCAACTCCGAGAACCACTCAAATGTAAGATGGATTCTATAAGAGGATCGATTTCACGGAGATATTTACATTTTTTTCGTACAACCCTTTCCAGCTATTCTTTCAATGAGAACCGAGTCTTATATCCGATAGCGACGTTCGCCGGGACTTTATCTGAGCGGTCGTGTTAGCGCAAAACGACCTATGTTTACCACTCGCAGGGTCAAATCTAGGTCACTAAGCGTGTTTAAGACCATAGCAGGCAGATACGTTAGCCACTATACTATCAGGGGAACAAGTTTTTGGAATCAGCTGGGCTTAGTTCGAAGCTTTCTCTGGTAGAGCTAAATAATGGCATAGTAATTATACGAGCATCTACTAACGCGATTCATTTTCTATTTGTGCTAATAACGCTTGGTGTTTTATAGTTTTTTTTTTTTTTTTTTCTATATGAATAATATTACTCGATGCCCATTATTCTTCGTTGTAAGTATGCCAATATACCTGAAAAGATGCGCTCGAACGACCTGGACAACGTCCACTCATTTACTTACCTTTGGGTATATTTCCTATGAAGTCGAAGAACGTATAACGCTCGAAGATAACTGTCCCAAGCTAACAACCAGCTAAGCTCCCTTTTTGGGCCGGCGGCCTATATACTACCCACTCCAGGGTATATAATATCAAATGACAAGTCTAATTACTTAATGCTGATTAGTCAAATTTAGGTTTAATTACCTCTTTAGTTACATCATTATGTCTATTTATTGACCCCTTATAGTTAGTACGTATTACACTATCAACGTCCATTTGTTATCAAATACGATACATTATCATGCCTCTTTTTTGACACCGAGCAGGACCTAAGCTAAAATGTCACTGAGGTTGGGGTCTCACTGCAGGGAGGTCGTTGGTCAAATAAATTCGATCTGAATAAATTCATCAACATGCAGATGCTATAGCTTCTCTGTCACCGAGGGAGTTATTTTCTCGATAGCCACGAGAGCAGTTTAATGTTTAACTAACAATAAAATGAAAGGGGAATCCCTGTGCCTTATTCGCTCCCTGAAAAATAAGGAAGCGAAATCCCTAAATATTTTGCCACCGTTAGGCATCCCATCACACGGCTGGCTCTAGCCAGCACGAGGCGTGTCTAAGCCGAGATTTGAGGCCAAACCACGACGTGTCCCTACATTTTTATGGAAAGGATAGCATGGTAGGTAATGTGTCTGCCTATTAACTCTATGGCCACCTAGAGATCTAGGTTCGAACCCGGGCGAAGGCCCACGCTGTTTTGTGCTCGGAGCCAGCCCTCTAATGGAATGCCTAACGGCGATACTGAATGTAAAACTCGAAATACATTACTCACCACACCATCATCGAGGCAAGGCAATATGCTTCACATGTTTGGTTGATTCGAATGATGAACGTATGTCAGTCCTTTTCAGTGTCTTGCGGGACATTGACGAAAACCTAGCGTTGCTATGATCCGTCGTTTGCTAAAAAGAAAAAAAGGAGATGCACTGAGCATTTAAATAGGTATGTGCTTATTTAAGAACATTGGCTAGAGTAAGGCGTTCGTTTTATTGTATTATAGGTATATTTGTACATCCGATGAAAATCCGATGTTTACTTTCAATCGAATATAGTAGAGTAGACATAGCTTCAAAGACACGGCAAATCACTCAACTACCAGTACAGTATGTGTGGTATAGGGGACGTTAATTCTGAACTGGGTTATGTGGATCACATCTGAGGGCACGATAGATATGGGTCGGTACAATTTTCTATTTGTAAAGTTAACTACTAGCGTGAAAATAATTAACAAATCAGCTACATGGGAAGTTCTATAGAAGCGGAATCGTAATATAATAGCGAGGGTTCGATAACCGAGATGACCAATGCTGAGCATATGGCAGCTCCGCCTATACACAGAACATCTCAAACCGCTTTTGACTCTCTGCCTCGAAGGTCAGAGTTTCACTTCAGCCCATCTCGGGTTCTTCAGAATTTATTTACCAGTAGTTAGGCGCCAGCTTTTTGTGGGTACCAACTGTGGAGTTTGTACAGAATTTACGAGCGCATCTTTCTAATATCACATAGCTGTTGATAACAAAGTAGTCTTTTCGACGGTGGCTATGACAAGGATTTTCCCTCAATGTCCCAGCTACGCGTTCTTCTTGTTTATCTTAAGATTGTTACTTAAACCTTACTATCAAGATCTGGTTCTCCGACGGAAAGAACATAAACGTCATGAATAGCGGCAACTGGACAGTGACTGGCCAATAAAAACCTCGACTAATAGGGAAATACTCCCTTCAGTGGAAGACGGAATGATATGCTTGCGTCGCGACCCGGAATGGATCCGTTGAAAAGAGCGACAAAAACGAGTTATGAATCAATGATCTATCACGAATAGAACAAATGACTCGGATAGCACACGGCTCTACAAGACATATAATTCTAGTGATTTTGAAAACGTACCCGAACTGTATTGCGGAGGTAATGGTGACAAGATCTAACGACAACGGCAACAATTTTTTTAATAGTAATTATCATGGGTATATACACGGACAAACCCTTCATCGAGACTATAAATTCTTCGGATCACCCCAATTGATAGTGTACCGCGCCGAAAAGAAGCAGGTTCCAGCACAATGCAACGGAACATACATTAAAGAGAAAGGTCGGTGGGGACTCCAAGCTAATTGCTGCCATCTAAAATAACACTCCGGATGATCCTTTGGTTAGAAAGGTTTCAGGAACTCATAAAAGTCAGACAGATGCTCTCTGGGAACAATAAAACCAAAGGAATTGACTGGGCCTATTTGCTACCTAATTATTCCCAGGAATAGAACAACAGGTTATCTTCCATTTTCCTATGACTAGAATCTTTCGTCCTCGCAGATTTTACCGCGCCCCTGCTTACGGTTCAGGAAATGCATCTATCACGTATAGAAGCAAACTTCCGGTTGAACTTTATCTTTTGAGTGTTAGAATAGATTATCCATCTTTTAGCTTAGCTTATACAAAGCGACTAATACAGGATTGACTGCTTGACAATATAAACACGTTCTGGAGTAAACGGTGTGATATATATGAAACGCTATTGAGCATTAGGCTCAATATATCCCCGCGTAACGGCATCGACTCGCTAACTTGTGGCCTTATTAGGAAGGTGAACATCTATCACAAGCCTGTGAGCGATTGGGGCTGTCATCGCGGTGACTGAAATATCTGTTTTTATTTATTTAGGTACAGTATTAGGAGCGAAATATATGTATTTTATTTAGTGCAATGATATAGTGAGAAAATGGCTTTTTTTTTTTTAGTATACCGTAACTATAAAAAGGTGTGTGTGAAGCTTACTAATGCAACACTGGTCCCATTTGCGACGCTCAGTTTGTATAGCATGTATAAATTCGGCTAAATTCCGAGGGGTTTCGGAACGCTATATGGCATGACAGCGGTTAACGACCCCTCGGGAGATTATATCTATTGGTATTTAGTGATTCTGTGCTATCATCAAAAATAAAGAATAAGATTACCACATAGAGCAAATAGTTATCTGTGGACAGATCAACAGACCCCATATATCATGTAGCCATAGTAAAATATATACATATTGTTTTGGCGGATGGTATTCAACAACGAACGCAGCAACAACTACAACGAGCGGACGTCAGTAGACACCGATCGAACCGAACCTGGCGGGTGTAACAAATCCCAAAAAACCCAATGACCTCAAGGAACATAATTCTTTTTAGCTCAGGGTACGATACTTCAAGTCGGTCGAGCGTTAAACAAGCTAAGCGAGCAGGTAGGGTTGCATAAGGTCCGACTGGTAAATGAGTAGAGGCTTGGTAGATTCATGGCATTTGAAGGAAGCAAACTAATTCGAGTTATTCCAGCTAATACCGCCACAGGCTACGCATAAACCACCCCCCAAACAACGAGCAGAACTCCATTCCTCCAACCAAAGTCCTTTCTCCTACAAGGCCATTATATTATCTCCATTCATCTGAACAACAATAATGCTCTATTCCCACATGGCAGCGGCCGCTGGTACCCGAGGGGTCTGCCTGTCATTGCTTTAGAGCTGTTGCCGCTGGTTATACACAGGCTGCAGGTTGTACACAAGGCGCAGGTTAGAAAAGAACCACGGGTCTGGCTTGCAAACTATCTCAAGTAATAAACATGTTTCGTAGCTAATAACTATAGTGTTTATATATTTAGTAGATAACTGAACTGTGTAGCAAAACAAAATAACGTCAATTTCTAATAATCCTTAGTAGCCATAGGACATGAAAACAGGCCGATTGGGCTGGAGTTGCTCAGAGACCTATGTGGAGTATTAGCAATATAATTCGATTACTCTTAAAGTAAGGGCCTCATTATTGGGTGATACTTCTATATACAATGCAGACGGTGGTTTATGAACAAAAATATCAACAACAGATGATTGCGTTTATAATAAGTAGGCAACTTACCAATAGAGAAGTTACTATTAGATGGAAATAAAGAGTGTCATCATTCAGTTCAGAGATCGGCTCGGGTAATCGGGCTTAATATGGTCTGCTCACCAGCGAACAGATGAGATCCCACGGGGTCATCCTCTCATGCGAGAGGCTGGATGATAGACTGCATTTAATGACTAGGAAAAAAAACGAATCAGAAGCAACATGCTGATGAACGCAACAGATGAGCTGATTAATGAGTAGTGTAAGAAAACACACTCAACCCCGATACATGACAATATAAAATACTTATTAATGATTTGCTAATTATAAGAGCAAGCTTGCTTTTGTGCACAAACAGATTTATTAGGTTTATGATGTTCCAACAATACAATTCTCTGCTATTTAAGGTTGTAGAGTAAATCTAAGCAAAATAACACCGTAAATTCAGGAATAGTCGCTGAACGAAAACGATCGTTTAATAGCTCAGCCTCATCTTGAAGGGTGTATACATAACATGTATAGAATTTAGGAACCGGGATAGGTCTTAAAACTCACGTGGCCTGTGCTTTCGACAAGCCAATGGTGTTACGTTATAAGCGTTATGTTTATCTTGTGTTACGCTAGACAGAAAAATCGAAAATAGAGGAACATCAGTTGGAATCTCTGTGGGCCATACTCCGGCTAAGCTGATATGTATTTGTACCCAGAACTTGATATTTGTAACTTGAAATGTCCTAAGTTATGCATAGATCGGCATATATCTAAACACTGTCGCTCTAGGAAGGTTCCAGTTTTATCATAGTGTATATTTGTCTCACGCATTAAAGCAGTTGTGCAGATATAAGTGAGCTTGAACGATATCTTTCGAATAGGCTTCTTCTGAAGGAAGCCTGGTTTCGCTGGCGTAAAGTAACTTTTCTCTGGCAATACATTGCGTTAACTTAGGACTCCGTTGTAAAAATATAATTGTATTCTGTTTATTTACTACTAGAACTGAAAATTCTATGCATAAACGACGAGAAATATGTTTTTTTTAATTCAATTTTAAAAAAATCATTAAATATTGGTGAGGCACTGTGGTTTGCAAAGAAGTATTTCGTTCATTGTCACTTGGTCATAATAACAATTTGTTTATTATAAAATAGTTATAACATTGCAATAACTTTACCTATAATTTAATAACTATAGTGACACCATAGGCGCGGTGAACATATTAAAATTTCAAGGAGAGGAGCGTAACTGTGTTCAAAATCAGCGCGCATTAGCATCATTGTTGTGTTTCTCTCTAGTTACTAGGCCAATGTCTGGACAAAAGCATCATCTTCCCGAGCTGGCAACTGTCCTATTACTCGCACTGTACCGTAAAACCCACAGATATGTTGCCTGCAGCCTATCTGGTAAATACTTTCGGATGCCATAGACCTTAAAAATAAAAATCTACCATGCTTGGTGCTCAGCTAACAAACAAGGATAATTCTTCGGAAATCAGTTTTGGGTGGCTCTGTGTACGCTTCAACCTATAGAGAACTCACCAGGAAACTCATCGAAGCTTGAGGGAAGGTGAAGTGGCCTATTCATAATGTAACAGTTCCTGCAGCTAGCTAGCTAGTTTTGTGTAACTCTGTTTGCGCTGCTACCATAAATACGTTAATGTCCACGTCATTCTGCGCATACGCATGCGCGTGGCGGGTCGTTTCCTCCGTGCGTGAAGTGGTCGCGTCACCGTTTCCAACACTAGATAAAGAAAAATCAATGTCATCATCAGACATGGTACCCTGTTTAACACAGGATACTGCCAATACTATTGATAGCGATAATTATTAACTGCATCCAAAGTGCGTGTTAAGGGACTGCTTTACAGAAAAGACTCGAACTCTGGTGTGATCAATAGTAACTAATTGAGTAATGATATTGTAGTGCCATTTTGAATTTAGCCAAGCGAAATCAATGACGTCTTCGACGAAGAAGCGTATATAACAGAGTTCCTCAATAGCAACACCTTATCAAACGCCTATTCCACTGGTACCGTCGAGAACAACTTGATACAATCATGACCATTACGGAAAGGACACTGCTACTGCCGCTGACGTTCAGCATTAGGCGAAAGAATTGTGATTAACGGCATTTCTTAGACCATTTGTTGGCCTGTGACGTTTAGTTGGCTTCATGGCCAGCTGGTATGCCGGCGAGCCGCCTCTACTTTACGCCCTTGCCCCTGACGAACCTAACCCGGTAGCAGCACGATAACGGAGCCCCCGGGTGACATCTACATACATAGAAATTAAATACCTAGGCTTGGCCACGTTTTGCCAATGCGCAACGTGGCTGGCAGTTAAATTTAACTAGGCAGACCTGATCTCTGTCAAAGAGTGCGACGACGTAAAGTAAGAAACATACTTTTTGCTTACGGTTTGTCTTTCGTTCTCTGAAAACTGGATTTGCATAATAGTCATTTTCCGAGTCACCAGAGCACCGTAGGCTGATTACGTCTGTGATCTAGCATATATATATATATATGTATATATATATATATGCTTGGTAAAATTTACTTACAAAAATTTACTCGGGCACTTTACGAACGTGACTCGTGATGCTCTGCACCTTTTTCGCCTTTCATGACCGTGATACATCAAGCGTGGTGCAACTCTCTACGTTGATCACAGTAGCAGGAAGCAGGTGTCAATAATGATTAACTTCTGTAGTGATGATACTTGAACAGTTATAGCTACACAGGTTGTTCGTGATAGACTGATACTCAGTTTCCTATAACTTACAATTGATAGCCATTGCTATTTAAGTTATCGAATTTTTTTCCACGTGTGGCGTGTTTAAGCGAAGCCTAAGTGATCTGGTATCACTTCATGATCACTAATACATTCGGAGGTTGCTCACGAATAGCTATTTGGCACTTGAATTGAAGCCCTGCCAAAATTCGGGTATCAATTTCTTTTCATTTAGTTTTAGCTTGTATGTAAGCGTCGTCATTTAAGTCCTGAACGCTCTATAACCAGTCACAGTATAGTGGAAACATAAACATATCTTTTCCGTAATGACTCATACTCTAAGGGAGAAGTCAAATATTTCATTCATTATAGCATTTAGATAGGACTTTAATAGATAAGTTGAAATCAGGTCGTTGTCAAAATTAGGTCAATTCTCATTTATTACTTGCCCGACTTTTTTTTAAAGAATCCAAGCGTCAACAGAGAAATAGTGCTGCCTCAGTCTGGATTTATTATAGGATTATTATATCATAACCTAACATAATAATTATCGCGTTATTAAAAACGCCCATCAAAGAGAAGGCATTACAGTTACTATGCACGATAATAATTATCTCAAAGCGCAAATTTTAGGGTGTGACGTGCAAACTGACCTTTCCGTGCTTCGGATAAAAGCTGACAAAGACTTCTCTTTCACAGCAATAATACGAAGATTGGTGATACGGTCATGCCAATAGGCAATCAATCTGGGTTGGGCTACCCCGAAAGTAAAGGCGGTCAGCATGTAAACAAAGCTGAAACACGCATGACGTATATGCCAACGAGTGTCATCGTTCAGTGCCAAAACAGCTGTTCCCAGCATCAAAATAAGCATGAAGCACTGAGATTGCTTGAAAGACGGTCACAGCAAATTGGGCTGGCGCAAGGAATGACTGAAAAATACGGCAAGAAATGCTATATAAGCTCGATAAATCAAACATGTTGTGCATCCATATTCAGTAGTGAAAGATTTAAAAACCGGATTAAAACACATTGAGAACTTGGTCGGTATAGCCATGAGCCATAAATAAATGGATCTGTTTTACATGGCTTCGTAAGCGAATTCAATTTGTATGCTATATAGGAGAAAGGTACTTTCACCAGCGCATCACCACGATACAGTCAATCAGATACAGTTATTATTTTTTTCCATGTTTTGTTACGTAAATACTTCATCTCGATAAAGCTGTAATTTAGGATCGAATGTGTTAAAAAGTCGGGTCTCTTGATCTACACCCATACAGGACCTATATATTTTAACTATGTGTTTATATTCATTAGTTTCATGCATATCTACAGGAAACCCCTGCCCTTTCTGTTTTCCTGTAGCTTCCACCACGAAGCTTCTTATAAGTAATTTAAACCGCGTTTTCAGTTGTAGACGATGAAGCGGATTGCAGTCGTGGACACGCTTGTCTGCCGCTTTGACGTTCCTTGAAGTTTTGCATGCGCTTCTAATTGATTTAACAGGGAACAACGTATAATTATCGCAACGCAGAACAGACAACACTATATTATTCTCTCGAGTTCGCCATTGAACAGCGATATGCCCCACCTAAATAAAAGTATTTGTTCAACTGAGGTTGTAAACTTTCATACTATATTCCAAGCCAATACGTACATCCGTCACTGGCAAAGTACGTGGCAACAACAGGGTATGCTAGTTCCACGCTCTGATTACCAATGACATTTCCCCACCGGCTGAACTTCCGATAAGCGAATGCACAGAGCGTTGTCGTAAATCCATCCCACCCAATTGCCTTATCTTCCGCCCTATCAGCTTTTAGTTCGCAAGAAGGGATCGTCTCTTGAGGGTCAAATATACCGTTTTCAGGTATTCAACAAGGTCTGTAGTGTCACGACAATGGTGGCAGGTTCAGCTGCCTGCCAATCTGTTTAGCACAGCATAAATTTACAGGCGACCATCTGAAATTACAGCTGACAGCTTGCAGGACTCTCTGAGCTTACAGGACCATAATGGCAGACTTTGAGAACTGAAGCGATATTCCGATTAAACAGCAATAGACTTTAGTAAGCCCAGGTTAAAAATTGAATGGGGCAAACACTGGAGGGATGCAGGGGCAGAGGCAGAGGCAGAGGCTATTGACCAGTTCCGTTAGGCCCTCGTAATCAAACGCGGTATTTCCTCCGAAAAAACTAGGTGCATCGGAACGACTGCTATTGGCGCTGAAGAAGGTGATGCTTGTTACTCATTATAATTAGTTCAGCCGTAACGTACTTGTCGAGTGTTCGTACAAATCTGTGCGATTCTATCTATTGGTATATTTTCGCCTGGATTTCTGTTCCGTATCCTTTTGATCCGGCATTTCTGATTTACAAAATATAGTTTTGAACCCTCCTTAGTTTTTGGCTGATTAACTACTCAAATATCTCAACCATACAGCTTATTGTTCATAAGGTATATGTACATTAATAATTTGTATGTTTACGTGCAACTTAGATAAAAAGAATATTCGAGACATGTGAAAAAAGCAGCTCTTACCAATTGACATCCAATAAGATTATTGACCCAAAAAAGCTCCATGATCGGCCGCAAAAGGAAGCTGTTTGTTTATCTAAGCTAAGACTCTTGAATAGCCCCGGTCTCTGTATACGTGATTCCTAATTCTATTTTTTTCTCCGAATTCTAATTTTTACCTAGTAAGTAATACTCTTTAGCAATGGGATACTTGTGAGCTGTTCATTGCACAGACCCAATAACAATGTATGTATTTATTTTTTTATTTATTTATTTATGTATGTAGTGTACACGCCCCTAAATAATATTGTTAAAAGGAGTGCAAGCCAAAGGATATTTATTTGCGAATAAAGAAAACCTTGGCTCATTTTCGATATTTCTTTAACTGGATATCGTTCGAGCGAATAGAAATGATAAAGATTCAATTCCGTCGAAACGGTTCAAAATGTCTAATTATGTTGATTCCGTTTATTTATTCCAATAAATTCGACAGACTTCATTAATGCTGAGTCGTTAGGTGAAGATCGTCATTTTGAACTTCAACTTCAAAAACAATTCTAGTTTCTATAAAAATTCAATCTTTTTTCACATCTATGTTGAAAGGCTCAAAAATAACTTTTGTAGAACGCTAAAAAACGAGAGAAATTCTCACCTGTAAAACATCATTTTTGGTAGACAAACCAACGTACCGTATCGATCGAGTATATAACAGCCATACGATCATTCGATACAAAAAGAACCTCGAACGTGATTGATGCGAAACCTAACGGTCTAAATTTCTCTAAGTGTCAAAATATTAGACGTAATGCACGCAAGAACACCTTACGTACGGCAAACCTCGGTACGTACGTATCATCTTCGTATAACTTAAAAACAAGATTTAAAACAGTTCTCGCATCTATATCGTCACCGTTATACCACACGAAAAGTACAGCGGATCCAAAAATAGAAAATCTTCTCTACCAGCAACAGTGCTCCCCTATTCATTTGTCCAACTAGTGGAACATGACACAGCCATAGCCATCTAAATGGTTGCCGAAAATACATTTGTCCTGTTTGCCCATGTATTCATAGCTTCGGTACGTAACTCCTAAAGAAATTACGATATTTATAACATGTGGCCTGATGTAATCCCTCATTTCATGTCAGATCAGCCTAGTTCGTCGACACCGAACCATGTGAAGGTGTAGGTAGTGCTTCCGACATACGGATCTTTTCTCCGGTCGACAAGCGCAGAAGAGAATTCCGATTTATCGGAGCATGCAATTCAAGGTCGGGTCGCAGTCAGCACGTCTAGACACATTGAATGGAAAAGTCGGTGAAGAAATCGGGGCTAGTCGGTTTATGGTATTAGGTCACAAGTAGGTGCGTCATAATATGGTCTCGTGAGATAGGACGCTATAACTTAAATCTAAAACAATGACAACTAGAACAACATCGGCAGCAATAAGTCAGTATTATTCTTCAATTAGATGATAAAGAG